GGGGGCGCGGCCCGGTGCCCGCGAGGGGACGAGACCTGCGGCGCCTCCGTTCCCCGGGCCCGCGCTTCTCCGAGCTGGTTCACCCCTGCCTTTTGCCGTGCCGGGGATGTAGATACGAACAATTTTTTTTGTTCTTAACAGCTTGCAGTCGATTTTGTGCTGCGTGGCTGTGACCCACCTGCTCGCTCCTCCCACCTCTTCTCCTTGCGCTGTGTCAAACCACAGCAGCTTCCCAGCGCGTCGTACCCTGGGACTCATCCAGAACCGGGCTGAGGGGAAAGCAGAATTAAAAATAACTGTAAGTGCATCCTGACAGGTTAACCACATTTATAGAGGCTTTAATACCAACCTCTTTCCAGGGAAAGATGATGATGTTTGGAGACAAGTAGGTCACGGGACACGGGTTGTCCCAAACGGCACATCAGCATGGTAATACGGATCTGGAGCACATGGGCACAGACGTGGAACAGCCGCACAGACAGCGAGGGAAGGAGAGGAAAGCTCACCACCTCCAGGAACTGGCGCTTCAGACATCGCCATATTCCCCGGAAAAAACGAAATGCTGCTGCTCTGCTCCTGAGCCACGCAACACGCTCCATGAAGCCTCTGGTTTGTGGCACCCAGCCCCTGCGACGGACGTCCCCAGAAGGCGCCGTGCACCCAAACGCACCCAGAGCACCGAGCACCTGCTTGGAGTCGGGACCCCGCAGGCTGGGATACGGCGAGCTTGGCCTGCTGGATATATTGCCCCGGCGATGGAGGGGTAGTTAGAGCTGCTGGAGACGCCTGCCCCAGGACGCGGGCACATCCGGGCCATGCAGAGGATGGAGGTGCAAGCGCCCGGACGTGCCGGTCCCTCGAGCCGGAGACTTCGGAAGACCCATCCAGGTCAGTGGGACTTTCCAAGCGCTCGTTGTGGCTGGGCTGAATGGAAAAGGTTCAGGAGGGACCATCTCCACAGGGTGCAGCTTGTGTTTGAAGTCCCTAAAAGTGGGTAGGTTTGTTTGGGACTTTGGCGGTGTGTGCAGGACATTTCCGGCAGTGGGAGAACAGGGGTGCGGTAGAGCCAGTGGGGCCTCAGCTGGATGGAGACCTTGCTGCACCCCATGAGTACGTCCCCCTCACCCAGCATCTCCCTGGCCGTTTCTGCCAGCCTGCGAGCGGCGCGTCCGGGGCGGCTGTGCGGGGAACGGAGCGATAAGCGCAGGAAAACGGCCCTGCGCGCAGCAGAGTCCCCCGCCGCGTCCCTGAGTCGGCCGGACTCTTCCTGGGCGCCTCGCTGCAGCCCCTCTTCCCTTGCGATATTACAATGG